GTGCCCTCCTGTCCCGCATAGTCGGCCGAATGTCCCCTGGCTGCCCGAGCCCGCCATGACTTGAGTCAAGTCTGAGGCTTGGCGCCCGCCGTGTAGCAACGATGCGATCACCCGTTTTGCTCAAGGCCCCTGGCGTGTGCTGAACTTTCAAACGCCCCTTGGTGACAGGTGGAGGACCTGTTGCGCAACAAGCCTGCCGCCAAGCCGCTCGCGACGCCCTCCTTCCTGGACTTCAGCCTGCCGTCCATCAACCTCGGCGGCGGCGGCGGCGGCGCCGCCACTACCAACAGCAGCAGCAGCAGCGCCCTGGCCGGCGCGGCGTCAGCGTCGGCGTCCGGCGGCGCTGGCGGCGGCGGCGCTGCGTCGAAGTTCGACATGTTTACCCGAAAGTTCAAGGAGACGATGGTGGATCTGATTAATACGGATCTGTCGCAGCCCTACGAGACGGGGCCCGGCAGCGGCGGGCGCCCCGGCGGTGCGGGCGGCGGCGCGGGGTCGCCGCAGCTGCGCGCGGGGACGCCGACGCAGCAGCAGCAGCTGCCGCAGCGAGCGGCCACGCCTGGGGCGCCTGGTGCACCGCCGTCCGCATCACCACAGCAGCAGCAGCAGCAGCAGCAGCGTCCGGCGCAGGCCTCGCCCGCGCCGCAGCAGCCGCGCGACGCGCCCTCCCCGTCGCCGGCGGGCGCCGAGGCGGCCCCGCCCTCCCCGGCCGCCGGCTCGCCCTCCCCGTCCCCTTCGCCCTCCCAGGCGCAGCAGGGCGGCCGCTGGGGCCTGCGGGAGCGCACCGTCGCCATCGAATCCCTCACGGCAATCGCAGACGAGCTCAAGGCCGCCCGCGGCGCCCTCACCTCGCTGCTCGGCGGCGGCGCCGCCTCGGCGTCCGGCGGCGGCCTTGGGAGTGGGAGCGGCGGCGGCGGCGGTGCAGGGGGCGCGGCGTTGGCGCGGGAGGTGGAGCTTTACTATTCGAGGACGGTCGACGCGGTGGCTGACCTGAAGGAGGCAATCTTCAGGGGGGCCACCAAGCAGCTGCTGCAGGCGAGCCCCCACGCGTGCGCATGATTCGGGCGCGGACTGTTTTCTCGCGCTGGCAGCTTTGCTCCCGCGCCGCCGGCGGCAGCCCCGGGCCGTGGGTGTCCTTGCATCCTCTGGCTGCGTGCTGCACAAACACGTACAACACAACAATGAGAGTCCAGCTAAGCACACGCGCGCCTCAACCTGTTGCCCATCGCAGGGCATGTTCGACTCAGACCGCGGCACCGCCGCCCAGATCGCAGCGGCGGGCTACGCGTCGCGCGAGCCGGCGGCCAACTACCAGCCCTGGTCTGAGGCGCTGCTGCGGCACATGAGGAGCTTCGGGCAGTTTGTGGCGGCGGCGGGGCTGCCTGGAGACATTCAGAAGCAGGTGGGGGCGCATGTTGGCGTACTATGTGGCACGTTTTTGCATGTGTGTGTGGTGTGATTGTGTGGGTGGTGAGGGGGTGAGTTGGTATCCGGGGCGGGCGTTGCCCGGAAGGTGGGTGGGAGTAGGGTGTGGAACAAGCGCAGTCCAAGGCGCGTCGAGCCTGGGTGAGCCTCCCTCGCAACGCCGTCACAACACACACACACACACACACACACACACATACATACACATTCACATACACCAACCCGCAAAGTCCCAGCGCTGTTGCTCCCGTCCCTTGCCACGCCTCCACGCCCAGATGTGGGAGCACGCCGCCAGGCTCGCGGCCGACGCCGTGCTGGACGGCCTCGCGCGCTGCCGGCGCTGCAGCGTGGAGGGGCGCGCGGCGATGAGCCTGGACTTTGGCTACGTGGAGAAGGGCCTGCGGGGGCTGCTGCCGGCGGGGGCGTCGGCGGGCAGCAGCCTGCGCCTGCTGGACGCCTACATAAAGGTATGGGCTTGGGGTGATCTGGGGGCTCTATACGATCTGAATTTCTGAAGATCCGGGGCCATTGATGCTATGGGGATTGCAATGGTCTGGGGGCTCCTTGCATAATTTGGGGCCTTGGCGGTCTGGGGCTTTGATTAGTCTTGGGCTTTGATCGGTCTGGGGCTGTTGAGGATCCGGCCTTTTTGGTGATTTGGGGCTTGCGTTGCTCTGGGGTTTGTTGATCTTGGGCTTTTGATGGTCTGAGCGCTCGGTGGTGGTGGCAGGCTCTTTCATAGGGAACTCGGTTGGCAGGTGTGCTGTGGTATCAAACGCCGGGACAGCAACCACCGCGGGGACAGTTGCTAGCCTCCGCAGACCCCGCCCATGTGCAGTGGCGCCAAGCCCTTGGCTGAGGCGCCAAAAGCAGCCGCCCAATTGGGCTCTCTTTAGACCTTGGTCGCTTGTCGCAACACACCATTCTGGTCGTCACCTCAACCAGAATGCACGCATGTGCTTGCACGTCCGTCCCCTGGGAAGTGTCTCCCGCCCAGCCTCACCCGCACCAACATGCTCACCTGCGCATGCCAACACGCACCATCCTCTCCTGTGGCCCGCGCCCCCCCCCTCAGGCCTTCTACATGCCGTGGGAGGAGCTGCCGCGCTGGAGCCAGGTGCACCTGGCGGAGTACGGGAAGGCCAAGATTCTGGCGCTCATAGGTGGGTGCTGCGTGCAGGGTTGGGGTGGGGTTGGGCCGGACGTGGGGTCGAGAGGTGGGGAAGCGAACTCCTCACCACCGTGCACGGGGGGAGGAGGACGGGGCGTACGTTTCCTCATCGTTTTCAGCGCCCCGACGTCAGGGCGCCACACCTGCACCCACCGCCGCTCGCATCCGCGCTGAGTCCTGGGCCTTTGCTCAGCCACCGCCGGCAGCTGCCGATCGACTGTTTTCCAGTTGTTTGAACCGTCCCAGCAACAAATAAAACGGATAGTGAAAGAACCTTGTGCGGCCCAGGGGTGTAAAACCAGCGGCGGTCTGGGATGACGGAAACTAGAATACATCGCCACCACCCGCGCTCCCCCCCCCCCAGAGACAATGGCGGAGGCGTACGGCGTGAAGAGGGCAGCCAAGACGGCGCTGCTGGAGCGGCTGAACGCAGAGCTCGACGAGTTTGCCTAGTCAGCACTAAGGTGACCACGCGTGACGTCACATGCGTCATGCGGCGGGTTGAACCTCCAGGCGTCTCCGGCGCCCCGCGCCGCCTGGCGCGGCTGAGCGGCTGGGCGCGGCCGAGACCTGTCGGGGCTTGCAGCTGCTGAGGTGGCGCGCGCCGGGTGATGAGGGGGCCTTGTCGCAGCTGAGACAGAATGGGAGGATGCGCGGTCTGCAATTTGACCCTCGGGACAGCGCCGGCCGGCGGTCAGCAGCAAACGCGCACCATGCAGGTGCCCATGGAACTGCAAACCTTTGCATACGGCCTCAAGGCCTTGGGCACAGCTCCTAGAAGGTGGGGGCAGTCAGCCCTGCTTGACTGTAAGCCCTTTACTGCCCGTCGAGCGCTATTCAGGGTTCAATGTGTGGAGTTGCTCGTGTAACAGAGTGTGAGTCGGCAGGACGAGTGACCGGGTGACACGCGGGGTCTCGAGTGACCGAGTGTTGTCACTCTGGGTGACAGTGGCGCGGGGACGCACGCAGGGGTCGCGTGGCTGGGATGCTATAATATGCGAAGTCTGGGCGTGGACGCGGCAGGTTGTTGAATGGCTGGCTGCACGTGTGCTTCCTGCCCAGCAAACCCATGGCGGCATGGGGCCCATCCAGAGGCAGGTGTTGCAATGGAGGGCGGCCGGAAGCATCCCGAAGCCATACGCACCTCCCACGCCCCACGTTCAACACCCTGCGTCTGCCGCAGCCATCACAGTGCAGCCGGCCATTGGGTTAGGGAAAACAGACCCTGCCTGCGTAACCAGTCTCTGGTGCCCAATTTGGCCGTGAAAGGACAGGGGTGGGAAGTACAATGTGGGAGCCAAAAGTCCAGCTTACCAAAACGGCATGGCCACCGAGCCCATGGGGACTGAGGGATGACCTGCATTCCCCAGTCATGTGCCGCCATCCAACCGCGGCCGCTTAAGACCCCCTCCGCCCCGCAGCTCCCCCCAGCCGCAGCCGCTGGCGGGGATGAACCCGCCCCCCCAGCTGCCAGCATCCACGCCCTCCAAGCCGCCGGCAAGACTGCCAATGTAACCGCCATCATCACCGCGGCCCTCCGGCCGCGTGCGCGCTGACAGCACGTCCCGCGCAACCCGCAGCCGCCGCTGGCGCTCCGCCGCGGCCATCGCCCGCTCGTCTTCCGTCGCCGGCGAGAGCACGGCTGCCTGGCGCCGCGCCACCTCAGCGCGCAGCTGCCCGAGCTCAAGGCGCCACAGCGGCGCCCCCTCGGACTCCATCTGCTCCGCCGTCGGCGCCGTGCTCGGGAAAGATGGCCCCATGCCGCCCCCGGCCGCATCCGCGTCCCACGCCCCCCACCACGCCGCATC